TCAGCATCACTGTCTTCCATGGTCCCAGTATGGCCCATTACGAAGCACTTGAAGCATTCCACTGCTTTCCTAACCCAAGCTCCCAAAGTCCATATTACCCTAAATAAAAACATGGCCCTCCCATCACAGCAATGCCCCACTCCTAGAACCAACCTCTGATTGAGTAAGGGTTTCTGTTGCTGTGAAGAGACACCATGACCACGGCAACTCTTTTTTTTTTTTTTTTTTTTTTTTTTTGAGACAGGGTTTCTCTGAGTAGCTTTGGAGGCTGTCCTGGAACTCACTCTGTAGATCAAGCTGGTCTTGAACTCACAGAGATCCGCCTGCCCCTCTGCCTCCTGAGTGGCTGGGATTAAAGGTGTGCGCCACCAACGCCCGGCATTTGTTTGTTTGTTTGTTTTTTGGTTGACCATGGCAACTCTTATAAAGGAAAACAATTAATTGAGGTAACAGTTTACAGTTTCAAAGGTTTAGTCCATTCTCATCATGGCAGGGAGTATGGTGGTTAGAAGTATAGAGGCACAGACATAGCCCTGGAGAATTCTACATTGTGATAGGCAGGCAACAGGAAGTGGTCTCAGACACTGGACATAGCTTGAGTATATGAGACCTTAAAGCCCACCCCCACAAAGACACGTTTACTCCAACAAGACCGCACCTATTCCAACAAAGCCATATCTCCTAACAGTGCCACTCCCTTTGGGGGCCGTTTTCTTTCAAACTACCAGTTATTATAATATTATTAAGACAAAGGGTGATAAAGCAGGATATCCAACCCTCTCCTTTGGTCTCTGCACATATAAGCACATGTAGGAGGACACAAACACAAGTTATATAGTGTACATATGTATGTATTGAAATACTATACAGCACTCCATTAATATGTATAATTTTTATGTATCAGTTAGATTTTAAAATGGAAAGAAACACCTAAGGGCCACAGAACTGCCTTCAGAGGGAAGGGAAAGCTTACGATGACAATAGTGGCTTAATCAGATACTGAGGAAAGAAGATTTGTCCAGCTGTGAGAATGATAAATACCTCCAGAATAAAGACTCCACAGAACAGTAGCAGACAGCAGTAGTAAAAGCATCTTTACTACTGGCTGAATCTTACAGAACATGAACAACACACTAAGAAACTTGAGAGCCAAGGTGGGAATCCAGGTACTGGTGGGTGCACCCCAATGAAATAAACTCAGTGGGAGAAACCTTCAACTTCTGCTAAAATTAGTTCCAATAGAATAGGAAGTATCAGACATTTCCTGACATTGCAAAACACAAGGTTTATTTAATGTTTGCATCCAATACTACAAGCATGCATACTGGGTCACAAAGTAAAATTAATTTACTTCTGTGAGCTCAGGGTCAAGAGTTTGAGCTAGGCAACTAATGACTGACTGACCAGGTTAAACAAATGAAGGACATATCAAAAAGGAACTCCCGGTTTCTGGTACAGGTATCTGAATGGGCTCACAATGAATGGCTATATCAAAAAGGAACTCCGGGATTCTGGTACAGGTATCTGAATGGGCTCACAATGAATGGCTGGGATAAGGAAAGTTAGGAGGGCTGCTTTACCAAGCCAGTGTAGGGATGCTAGGGATTTCCAACAGCATCTTTTTCAGCAGCCACATTCAATAATGATCGTGTTCAGCAGGGACAAGGGACACAGTCAGTGCCACTGCAAGCTCACTGAATATACAACTAACAGAGGTCTTCTAGGAACACAAGAGGTATGTGGTCTTAAATCTCAACCCACTGAAAAACTATGGAACCAGAAAGAGTAGACAGACAGGAGAAGTATAGCATCTTCAGAGAGCATACAGGATGGCTCGGTATCCTGTTCTATCCCAACTACCAATAGGATCCACTACCTAGGGGACCCAGGCAAACATTCTGGAAAGTCTATCATCAGGGCACTTTCATTTCCTAGGAGTCTCTCTGGTTTTGTTTTGTCTTTCTTTAGGACTGTTTCCTTGTCTCCTCTCTCAGTTTCCACTCCAAAAGGTGTTATAGTTTGTATTCCTCCAGTGGCACAGCTTACTTCGATCTCTAAATTGGAGTTTGGCTGCCCCTCAGTTTGGACTCTTAGGAAAGGGAGTTCTCCAATTCTGGGAAGATCACTACACAACTGTGTAGGGGACAGTAAGCCACGCCTGTTAGAGGCTTGTGCCTGACCACACCTGTCAAGGCGTGGTCAAGGTGAGGTCAGGATGATGCAGGATGGGCTCTTAAGGGGCTGCAGAGCACATGGGAACCCCCTTCTCCCTGGCCTCGCTGCTCGGCTGCCCTGGGCACGCTCTGGCTTGCGTTTGGCTGGTATTTATCTCAATAAAGATATCTGACCTTACGGACTACGGATCATCTATTGTGGTCACGCAATACAACTGAGCCCAAAACTATTTGTTTGTTTGCTTTTTGTTTTTATTTCTGTAGACAGGGTTTCTCTGTGTAGCCTTGACTGTCCTGGAACTCACTCTGTAGACCAGGCTGGCCTTGAACTCGAAGAGATATTCCTGCCTCTGCCTCCCAAGAATGTGGGGATTAAAGGCATGTGCTGCCACTGCCACCACCACCTGGCTTTTTTTTTTTTTTTTTTTTCCTCAAAAACTACTTTTCTGGTCACCCTTTGACTACATTCTTCCACGAACCTGTCACCAAAAATGTCAGCCAACTGGCTGCCCTCAAATACCTGCAGGTGCAGTCTTTCCCTCCTGCTGCTCTTCAGAAGCGCCCTCTCTTTCTACCACAGTCATTTTACTTACTCCTCATGATCTCTATCCCTCACACATTAGCTCTGCCCTACACTGTCCTCACTCCTGCCACTGAATTCAGACTTAGTTCTACCTGTGTGCTTCCACAGCACCTCTTTGGGCTTTGCGCCAAACATTTCATTAGCATCTATTATAGACAATAGCACTCAAAGCCCTTTTCCAATACAGTTTCTTGAATGTGTGCACTGTATCACAGCTTCTCTCCAGCACCCCATGGTCCCAAACACACAGTAGGTCCTTGACAAGGATTTTCTGACTCAAACAGACAAGATGTTCTACCAAAACCTATTTAGATCATGGCAATTAAGAGCAATGAAGAGACGTGGCAGGCAGTGGTGCGCACGCCTTTAATCCCAGCTCTCGGGAGGCAGAGGCAGGCAGGTCTCTGAGTTTGAGGCCAGCCTGATCTACAGCAACAAAGAGAATTCCAGGACAGCCAAGGCTACACAGACTCTGTCTCAGAAAACTACAAAGGAAGGAAGGAAGGAAGGAAGGAAGGAAGGAAGGAAGGAAGGAAGGAAGGAAGGAAGGAAGGAAGGAAGGAAGGAAGGAAGGAAGGGAGGAAAGAAAGAAAGATCCCCTCTTCTACTTAGCTGGTGGTGGTGCACCCCACTCCTCACTCAGCTGTGTGTGGTGGTGCACCCCACTCCTTACTTAGCTGCGGGTGGTACACTCCATTCCTCTGAAAAGTTAACTTCAGCAAGAAAGGTTGAGTAGACATTTTGGCAAGTTTAAGGAAATACAAATAATTTCAAGGTTCTCCCCACTGCTATTAGTCAGGTATTGACCTTGGGATGTGGTTGCAGGGATTATATATTTTACTTTGCCATCCACGCCCTCTGCCACTCTGATACCTCTAGCTATATGGGCAATAAAGAGTCTTTCATACAGGCTCTGAATATTATCTTTGAGCTCCTCTGGGAACAACTTAGCCTTCTCTCAACCCTCCCACCTTTCCAATGAGTAATTCTACCATACAGTCCTCAGCTCTCAAAAAAAGTAGTTTTCTTCTCAATGTATCCAGTTTCCCTCCCTGTACCCTCGCCTTAACCTCCACCATGGACACCAAAGGCAGACTGTGCCTTCTCAGCTGCCTGACAAGAAGCCACAGTACATATCTCAGAGAAGAGAACTAGGAAGGGTCTCAACACTGGGAGCGTCCTATTCAATCCTATAAGCACCATTTACATATATCCAGAACCTAGCAGCCCTGTTTATAACTGGGCATTTATGTGTCCTAGCTCCCTCACTAAAACTGGGCTTCTTGAGAACTAGCCCTAGTTCCCAGCGAAGTGCCCAGGACATAGTGTACCTTCTATAAACTAATGCTTCAGAGGGTTTTAAAAAAAATCCATAAAATAAATTGCCCCTTCAGGCTCCCTAGCCAAACTCAGTGACGATGTGAATTTGGAAGAAGAAACGTTTCAGAGGTGATTATAACTAAAACATCTTTATATAGTAGCCAGGCCTGTGATGCAAAGCTCAGCTAAAGACAGTCTCAAACAAGGGTCCTTTGATGGGCAGCCATTCCCCACGTTCCTTGGACTGCTCACTATGGTGAATGTAGTAAACCCAGTTCTCCAGAGTTTACTTTCCCAAGATCTGGCAAGTCCCCCAGCCCCCACTTTAGTGACTCCTATATCCCCCTTTGACCTTTAATGCTGTGTAACAGTAGATGAAAATCGATTTTTTTTTTAAGGCTACTTCACATCTGAAGAAAAAATATACTGTTTAAGGTGTTAAATATTTTCATATGCAACAAATCCAGCTTGACTCTAACCTGCACACACACTTAGAGGCACAGACATAAATGTCAGTGGTAAAATTTGTTATAGGTTTCTGATGACCAGAGATGGAAATGACCACGGATTCTCACAATTCAAACCACTTTTACGTAAATGTGAACTTTCCTAAAACACCCAAGGGGAGAACTTTTCCACTCGACCTCAGAGAGTCTCTTAGAGATACTGATAGCATTATTCGTGGGGTTAGGTGTTCTTTGAAAAAAAAAATATTACAAATATTGGTTTCTTTTGGGGTTTATGCTTTGACCTTTAACAAAAATGTGCTTCAAGGCACCAGTTATGAAAATGAAAGGAGCAGGTTTTCATGCTTAAACAAGTACCACTTCATATAATCAAGACTCAAAGAAAACTATACCCCCGCCCCCCCCCCACATACACACACGTGCAATTGGTGACCTCATTCAAAATGGCTCACTTACCAGACATGAAGCAGAGTTATAAGAAACCATGAGTTGAATGTATCGGGCATCTGACACCCTAGAAAATAACAATAAAGTGTAAATATAAGAAGGTGCAGAGGAGGCATACTGACTCTGTGTTAGCCACTGCTGGGAATGTGCAGTATGGCCATTCTGACTATGCTATTGCAGAAAAGATCAGTAAAAACTCAATGTAAGACCATGGGCTAGAGGACGGAATATAGCCAGACAACCAGCCTTCCAGTTCCAACCTTGTTACCGCCTTGTGGCCTTGGGCAAACTGCATCTTCCCTCTGAGTCTCAAACACCTCATTTTACAGAATGTGACAGAGATGATTTCTTATGGCTCCTTCCAATGCCATGAGGGTCTAAGCTAGTTTCCCTTTGTGGGCTTGAAGTCTAAAGAGTTAAGCATGTACACCTGTTCCCCTTCAGCATCAGCTACTGTGATCATCTGAACCCTGCTGAAAAGGTTAAGCCTTTCTGGTCTCCTTTTTTTGTTTGTTTTTTGAGGTAGGGTTTCTCTATGTAGCCCTAACTGTCCTGGAACTCGCTCTAGAGACCAGGCTGGCCTGGAACTCACAGAGATCCTCCTGCCTCTGCCTCCTGAGTGCTAGGATTAAAGGTGTGCACGACCACCCCCAGCTCTTTTCTAATTTTTTAAAGATAACCCAATATGGTATAGCCATGAATGTGCTGAATGATTGATTCACCCAAATAAGCAGGAGGGGAAAGTGGAACCCTAGGAGCCAGGGCTGGATTGGGAAGTGGACTGCACCCGCTGAAAGGCAGTCCTCAGCTACAGGGACAACACTGGACAGGGCCTCTCAGCTCAGACACCCACGCTTCTCCAGTCTCAGATTTCTAAGAAATCCCTCTAGCTGGCTGAGGGGTCCCCACTACATGTACTTTCCTTATCACACAGCAAGGAGAAAAGCTTGACAAGGAGCAGGAAGGATGAAGGGGAGAAATTTGTGGGGAATATGGCCCTTATGGTAAAACCATCTTTTGGAACAATGACTCAAAAATAAAAGTAAGGCATGATAGTACCTGCCTAGAATTCCACACACATCCTGTGATCTTGTGAGGCAGCAGGATTGCAAAATCCAAGCTAGCCTGGACTGTATTATATCTGTATCCCTACCCCTCCCTCACAAAAAACCCAAAAGTATCCTCTGCCCAATCAGCATTCAGTGAGGTAACAGTTAACAACTGTCACTAGGAGAGAAAACACACTGCGACCCTAGGAGGGAAGACTACAACCTGCACTAATAAGGGAGTCCTAGCTCACTGAGGCTGGGCTCATAACATGCCAGACATAGTAAGTGCTTCACAGACACTAGCTCAATGAATCTGTCTAACAACCCGAGTAGGTGGGTACTGATATATCCCCAGTGGACCGGTGAGAAAACTGGCAGTAGTGTCTTGATAACATTCTCATCAAGACAATTGCTCAAGGCTCCTGAACCACAAACAACAAGAACTGAGATACATGGGATTAAATTCAGACTTCTTTGATTCTGTGTACAGTGTGTGACTGCTACTTAAGCACATCTAATGCTAAGATGCAGACCCTTCCTTGAGAAAGTGTCTTACTCCACACCCAATCTGCTGCTAATCATCATAATACAGTATTTCTCTTAGTCCTTTCCTTAACCCGGGAGAAGCACTGGAGTCAAAAGAGCCAAGTAACTACGGGCAAGAACATGTTAAGCCAGGGACCAGGCTCGGGTTTGAATCCAGGTCTGTCACAAAAGGACACCAAAACACTCGGGTGAGCTTACTGGGTGGTACCCAGCAGCTGTCAAGTGGACTTCCTCTCTGAACCCAGCAGGAGGGAGCTGGAGACTGGCCTGGCCAGCCATCCAGCTATTGAGAGCCATGCCATCTGAGAGCCGGCCAGCCGCTCTCCGCCTAGAACAAGAATAGCCACGAGAAACTCTCAAGCCCAGATCTCAAGTTGGGTCTTTTTTTTGGATGTTAGAACAAAACATTAAAAAGAAAAGTTTTCTTGGAAGTCTGTTTTTCAATCTGGAGAATGAAATCTGGCTGCTTCTACAAGACAGTCTGCCCAACTGCTGCCTCTACATCAGAGCTTCCCAGCAGCCTCCAGGAGCCTGTCCAGTTTCCTAAGAGGTGGAATCAGTTCTTGGGCTGGAAAGCACAGACAGACAAACAGGTCAGCAGCTGGCCCTGGGTCACAGTTTTCCCTTCTGGGGGTCAGCTCAGGGCTGATGAGAAAAGAGTTGGCACATGAGTAAGTCACTGTGCCCATGTAGGACATAACAGAAACCCACAGAGTAAACCTCAAAAATATCAAACCAACGACTGAATGTTGACTATGAGCAACATAAAAATACGATTCTTAGCTCAACAAGATATGTTTACATACTTCAGGGCTAAACCCTGTGACACTCTGCCATGCTCATACTCTTGCTCATGCAGGATATTCTTTTCTAAGGCTAGCCTCTTTCTTGACACCAGGTTTAGTAAAATTAAATAATTCCATTATTGTCACCAGAGAGTGATATTATCATATTTTAATATGAGGTCAGACTGCTTAATTGAATTGATTTAATTTAAGCCGATTTAGGCGAAGTTTCTGGGCTTCTTGGAGGCCCAGTTTCCTTCTGTCAAAAGTCAGTGGGCAGAACAAGGGGGCCTATCTGAGAGCTTCTGTGATTATAACCAATAGATTAAAGGCCTGTAAAATGCTTAGTAAAGCCAGGTGTGATGGCGCATGCCTTGAGTCCCAGCACCAGCACTTGGGAAGCAGAAGAAGGTGGATCTCTGTAAGTTAGAAGCCATCCTACTCTACATAATGAGTTCTAGGCCCACCAATAGTATATAATAAAACTCTTTCAAAAAAAAAAAAGCTTAACAAAATGATTGCCATTTAAAATAACGCCTCAATATTCACTATTGTTGTTTCCACTGAATTAAATAATAGGGCTCAAATTATCTTTGAAAAGCTTCACCAGTTAAAACTGTGTCACAAAGTAGAACGAAACCTCAACCACTGGCTCAGAATCTCTTCATTAAGGAGCCCCTCCTCTCTAAGGTAGTCAGTTTCTTAGGGGCAAAAAGCCACAAACAAGATTGCAGAATTAAGCACAAGATAACTGCGGCCTATGCTCCTCACACCCGTGAGCAAACCACATAACACAGCAGGCATGTTCATTATGACAGGCAAGGGACATTACCAGAGCATGCCAGAGACAGCAGATGCCAAGGTGTCTGACCACTCAGATGCATCTAGCGATCTAGATCTCAGCGGTAATGACATGAGGTCTACACTCTGGCAGTGCAGGGAGGACTGTCCAAGAAGCTGACGGGCACAGCATACTGTGTAACATAACAACTCGCTCACACAGTCTTCAAGAAATGTCATCAGCCTCCTTTTGTTGGGGAAGAATGACATTTGCCACATGTTTAAGGCTCTGTCCTCAGGACTCTTTCTGCAAAGATCTAAAGTGGCGTGGCCACTTTAAAGGTATAATCTTAGGAAGTGACATATAAATTCCCTCATTTTATTCCAATCCCCACTAACTCCTTAGAATCCAAACCACAAGAAAGTCAGTCTATTTTACAGATTTTTCTAAATCTATTTTACAGATTTTTGCCTCCAAATCTGTTCTTTGTTCACTAGCCACACTTTGGAACTCCTTTGGTTTGATTTTAAAATGTAAACCTAGACAAAAAAAAGGGGGGGGGGCACAGCAGAACAAACAAGCCATAGGTTTGCTTGCTTGTTTGTGAGTAGAACAGGTTTTCCTTACGTTTATGGAAATCTTCATGCCCTGTCTTCTAAGTACTGGAATTACAGGCATGTGCCACCATGCCTACTTACGCTATAGGTTTATGTGGTGGTTTCCGTTCGGAAGAGGCTCTCTCTATGTAGTCTTAGTTGGCTGGGAGCTCGCTATGTAGAACAGGCTGGCCTGAACTCAGAAATCTGCCTGTCTCTGACTCCCAAGTGCCACCATGCCCAGCCCATGCCATAGGTTTTAATAGGCAAATGCCTAAATAAGTCTTAGAAAATCTGAAGGGAGGGTGTGATCATCAGAAAACTCACTGCCATTTATCCTAAAGGACAAAGCCTGGGCAAAACGCACCAAGATGCACACTGTTGTGTCTGTGAACATGAGTTTCCAACACTAGCACAATATCTCCCAAAGGGAACTCTCTCTCATCAAAATAAAACAAACCCAAATTATTAAGTTGCATTACAATTTCCAGTTTGTGGTTACATTCATTCACGGGCAGCATGCTACAGTGGGAAAATCCCTGAGGTTTAAGCCAGACAACACAGGTGCAAGGCTTGGCTAGGCAATCTTGGGCAAGTCACTGAGCCTCTTTAAGCCTCAACTGTTTCTAAACACAAAACAAAAATAAATAATACAAGCACTTACTATACCACAAGATTGTGAAACTCCTAAAGGAGACAAACATGAAAGCAAATAAATGTGAGCTATTAATACGCAATTGTAACTTTTTGAAACTTTTCTTAAGTTGGTAATCTGCAAGCTATGACTGAAATATGAAAATTAACTATGTTATAACAGTCCATTTTGATACTATAATATTAATAAAACTCAAGAACCTTCACTAGGGAACTAGAGAGATGGCTCAGTGGTTAAAAGCACTGGCCGCTCTTGCAGAGGACCCAGGTTTGATTCCCAACACCCACATGGCAGCTCACAACTGTCTGTTTGGGAACTGTAGTTCCAGTGTTTCCAATGCCCTCTTCTGGCCTCTGTGGGCACTGACTGCACGTGGTCGGTACACATACACACCAAATATTCATACATGTAAATGAAAACTTTAAAAACAGAGGAACCTTCATCAATGAGTGACGACAAGCATTCATCTAAAATAATAATAATAAATATAAATCAAGTATTAAATATCTGATGATAAACTTTTGTTTTTTCTTTTGGGTGTGCATGCATATGTGTGTGTGTGTGTGTGTGTGTGTGTGTGTGTATGTGTGTGTTGTGTTTATGTGTATTGTATAGGCACATGAGTGAGCACACCCATACATGTGCATGCCTAGTCCAGAGGAAACTATCAAGTGTCTTCCTCTGTCTCTCTACCTGGAAGAGCTCACCATTTTGGCTGACCGGCAAGCTCCCAGGATCTACAAGCTGTCATCTCCCCTCCCCCAATGCTGAGGTTACAGGCACATCTGGATCTGCGTCCTTGCATGGCTCAAGGGACTTGACCTGAATTCGGGTATTGAAATAATAAAGAAAAGACAAATAGATACATGGACACAGACAAAAATGCTGATTCAGTTGGACTGGGGTCTTAGATAGAGAAACCGTAACACCCCTGAGGCTGTATGAAGTTTATTACATAGATTTGAACAGACACAGGGTTATAGCAAACACCTGAACAAGGAGGTGGAGTTTAAGGCATGAGTGGCTAAGTCATGGTAGGAATAGTCTCTGTATTGGTGCAGTCATCAAGCTGTCAATTTCTGTGGGGAGAACGATATAGTGGACATTTTCTACACACAAGGTCAACACTTACACTTGGACCCCTGAGGAGAGCTCTACCACTCCTCTGAGCCTCCTCATCCCGAAAGGCTTTGTCATCTTCCCATCAGTCTGAGGATCTGAGGTCCTTAACATGGCCACGCCCACGTCAACAACACAAATTCACTGAGGACGTCACTCACTCCCGACATGGGGCCATGTACAGCTTCTTCCATGGGGTGCAGATGCAAACTCGGGCCTTTATGCTTGCACAGCAAGAGATCTTACTCCCTAGCCTTGAGGATAATGTTTCTATGGGAAAAGATACGATGGTAGGCTGGAGACCTTAGCATTGCTCTCAGGCTCTCGTGTGTAAGATCCCCAAATTGCAAACAAACGTAAACAAGCATAAGGTGGATATGTTGGTTTTGCTTGTTTGTTTTTCAGATTATTTACTTTTTTATTTTATAGGTATGGGTGTCTTGCCTGCATGTATGTCTGTGTATCACATACATGCCACATTCACAGAGTCCAGAAGAGGGCATCAGATCCTCTGGAATTGGAGTGACAAATGATCATGAGCCATCATGTGGGTGCTGAAAATCAAACTTAGGTCTTCTGGAAGAACAGCAAGCGCTCCTAATTTCTGAGTCATTTCATGGGCTCCAGATATAATTATTCAATTGTTTGTTTGGCTTTGGGGGGGTTGTTTTTAATGTTACTTTCTAAATTAAGTCATACTAAAAAATCAAGTAAACTAAAGCAAAATAAAAAGGTCAAGGGAAATGCACATGGAATTAAGAAAAAACTCAATATTTTCTATATCATTTGAAGAAAGCATATTTTCTCATTGTGGATTAATTGCTTGTATAATAAGAAACAGTTTAGGACTGGCAAATGGCTCAGTAGGTAAGGATGTTTGCCACCAAGCCTGACAACCTGATTATGATTCCCTAGAATCCGAATGGCAGAGAGAAACCTTTATAAGTTGTTCTCTGACTCTACATGGTCCCCATGATGTGTATATGCTTTCACACATGTGCATACATGCACACATACACTCATACACACACTAAATGTCTTTTTTTAAATAAATGTCTTTTTAATTAATAAAAAACTCCTTGTTTACAAAGGAGCAAGGAAATGATCCTTCCTGATGAACAAGAAAATAGAAAGTAAAAAAGTAAATTAGAATTATAACTCAATATAGTATTTTAAATCCCTAATATTAATCTGCTGAAATAGTGAAGTAGCCAAAACAACTGATATTTGAGTTTTAAACAACCCAAATAGTTATTAAGCAATCAAAACTGCATCTAGCCTTGTTAACTATGTACAGACATTTGTTGCCAGAGGAAAGCACCAGCTGTACAAACTTGTTAGGTGCCTAGCTCTTTAAGGGGATGGCTGCTACTGTAAGTGCACAGAGTACAGGTTTCCTTTTAACGTCTGTGGACACAGAATGGCTTACATTTATTTTCCAGTGACCTTACAAACACCTATTTTAGTTAACCATTTTAATAATTATAGTTTACAGTAACATCCTTCTGGAAAGCAATTTATCGATAGGATGTTAGTATTAAAATTATATAAGCCTTTGAGACCAATAACCCGCTAATAAAAAGAAGAATCATTGTTGCAGAACATTTGTACACTGTGTGAAGATGTGTTAGTTGCTATGACTGGTGTAAAACAGATGAATGGCCAATAGCTAGGCAGGAGAGGCAGGTGGGACTTCCCAGCAGAGAGAGAAGAGATAATCAAGGCAGCATGCTGAATGAATCGGACACACAAAATGGGAGAGAGGTAAAATCCACAAGGTAGAACATAGATTAATAAAAATATGGATTAATTTAAGTTATAAGAGCTAGTGGGTTAAGCCTAAGTTAATGGCCAAGCTTTCCTAATTAGCAGGTAAGTTGGCAGCCCAAAGGAAAGTCTAACTACAAATCATGACATTTATTTCAGGATTAACTAAAACAATCAGAAACTAGACACAAAAAGAGCAATGACTGACAAAAAAAGTCCATGTCAAATGCTAAGAGAGGGCATGGAGGCACAAGCCTGTAAACCCAGCCAGCACTTGGGAGACAGACAGTAGGATCAGGAGTTCAAGGTCACCCCCAGCTGCACAGCAAGTTCAAGGGCTGGAGAGGTGGCTCAGTCTATGAAATGCTTGGCATGCAAACATGATGACCTCAGCCTGATCCCTAGCACCCATGTAAAAATACAGGTCATGTAGCAGGCATAGTGGCCTGTGCCTGTAACCCCCCTGATGGGGAGACAGAGACAGGAGGGTCACTGGAGTTCACTAGTCATCAAGTGTAGCCTAACTGTGAGCTCCAGGCCAATGAAAGACCCTGTCTCAAAGGAGGTAGACAGTGTTTTGGAGGAAAACACCACGGTGAACCTCTGAGCTATATACATGCATGGATAAACAGGTATAACATATACACAAAAAACAAAGGTTTAAAAAAACTTAAAACCCACAGCCACAAAAATAAACAGTGGACCGTTTCCTTTCAGAACAATTGAGAGTCACTTACTCTGAAAGAATTCCTCAAAGTCAGTTTTCTCCACACAGCTCGTGTACATGCGTAGGGCTGCGATCTTAATCTTCTAGACAAAAAGAATAAAACCAAACTCAAGACATGACCAAGAGGATGTTCTAGAGTCATTAGGTATGGACTGCAGAGCTCATGTTTCTTCAGCTAGAAGGAGGGGTGTAAACCTATCTTTGGCGATGTATTTTGTTTTGCTTTAGAGACCGGCCCGCAAGCAGCCCTTGTTGACTGGGGATGGGCTCTGTAGTTCAGCTTACCATCTCTACCTTTAAAAATAAACATAAATTTTTAAAATGTGAACCCCGAAATCCTTTAATCTTTGCTCAGAGGCTCTACTAATTAGTCTGTGATTTGGGGGGTGGGGTATGTCTTTTCTACAGACTCACAGAACATATGTGCATAAACAAAATTCTCTAATAAATATGGAATACTTCTCACTATGCCTCAAGTACTAAATATGAAGAACTTAGTATGCAGTACTACATCTTAAGATCAAATCTAAAAATTATAAATCAATTCTGACAGAGTTGAGTTGGTCTGAAGAACAAACCAGTAAAACAAAATTGAAAAACTAAACCAGTATATAAACTAAAACCAGTATATAAACAAAAGACTTGTATAAGTTTCTTTTTCTTTCTTAAAATTACAGAGCAAGCTGAACATAGTGGCCCATGCCTATGATCCCAGCACTCAAAGAGTTCAAGACCAGTATAGTCTACAGGGCAGGTTCCAGGCCAGTCCAGACTATAGTATAGTATAGATTTTTTTGTCTCAAAAACAAAGCAAAACAAACAAACAAAAAAATAAACTAAAGTCCGGTGTTGATGGCGCACACCTTTAATCCCAGCACTCAGGAGGCAGAGGCAGGCAGATCTCTGTGAGTTCGAGGCCAGCCTGTTCTCCAGAGCGAGTGCCAGGACAGCCTCCAAAGCTACACAGAGAAACCCCGTCTCGAAAAACCAAAAATAAATAAATAAATAAATAAATAAATAAATAAATAAACTAAAAACAGGGGCTGGATAGATGGCTCAGCAATTAAGAGCACTGGCTATTCTTGTAGAGAACCCAGGTTCAGTTCCCAGCAACCACATGGTGGCTCAAAACCACCTGTAACTCCAATTCCAGGGGATCCAATGTCTTCTTCTGGCCTCCACAGACACCAAGCACACAAGTGGTGCACAGATACACAAGCATACATACAGGCAGATAAAATACTTATATACATAATAAAAATAAATAACTGAAACAAAAGCAAAACAAAAAGAAACATTAAACAAAAGGTATGATGGCTCATGCCTCAAAGTCCAGCACTTAGGAGGCTGAGATGAATCAGAAGCTCAAGCTTCATCTACAAGATCTATCTCCAAAATAAATAAATAAAAACAAATAAATAGAGCCCATCAAGAGTTAAGATATAATACATCACAATCAAAGAGATTTATGCATAAATGCAAAGTTGAACCCAACACTGGCCAATCAAAGAAGGGATGAGAGAAGGAGCTGCCTGTCAAAATTCATCAAGAACTGCGATTCAGCTAAGCATGATGGTGCATGCCTTTAATCCCAGCACTTGGGAGGCAGAAGCAGGAAGATCTCTGCGAGTTCAAGGCCAGCCTGGTCTATAGATCAAGACCCAGGACAGTTCGGGGTATACACACAAACGCTGCCTCGAAAAACTAAAACAAACAAAAAACAAGAACACTTAACCAGGAAAGTACAGGTTTAGGAAAGCACTGAGCTACACTATTGCTGGCCTAGTGACACCCTCATCCTGACACTTTGGACTCCAGCAGCCCTTCTGTCCTTGAGATGGGAACTTTAGGCTCACTCAACACTGCATACCAAATGGAGTTCCTGCCACAGATCTAAATGCTATGGTGAGGGATAAACAAAATGAACAAGTATTTCTGCCCTGGTTGAGTGTATGGCCCAGGTTAACTATAAACAAATTTATAATTTTAACTAAAATTCCTAGTTACTTAATTCTTGACCCTCCCTACCATGCTTGTAGTTTCCTTCTGGATCCTCTGCATAAACTCTTCTTAGGTCACAACTCATCACTCTGCCCTGGGAAAGGCAGACTTGTCTCCAAGGCCCAGGGCTCCAAATACATCCATGAAAAAGTATTCATTACAAATAGTAACTACTTGACCAGACTGGCCAGCATTTTTATACAGTGCTCACACTGTGGCAATCAGAAACATTTTATAGTTCTTCAATTTTCTTGAACCAAAGCCAAACCTTTATTCTTGGGTGAGCCATTTTCCTGGACAAATCTCTGAAGCAAGTCCCTGAGGACTATCACTCAGGGACTGGAAGTAACAGCTGGAAAGAATCTCTTTGAGAACCATGAGTTAACGTGAGTGAAGGGAAGGAGGCAGACTGAATTTCCACTCAGTCAACACAAGCTGTTCCAGTCCTGGGATGACTTCATGTTTATTTCACTCTCACTTTGGGAGACTTCACAGGACACCTAGGCCTACTCTCCCACCTGCCTGGACATGCGTACCCTCCAACAAGATGAGGGGTGAATGGGGTAAGAGGATTGTAGTAACGGCTGGGTAAGAGAGAGCTGCACAGGAAATTTTTCTTTTTTTTTTTTTTTTTGTCGTCATTTGAACTTCCTATTCTGTGCTGGAATTTTTTTTACAACATTCTTATTTCGTGTTTAATAATCTGAGCCCCTATTCCAACAAGAACAAGCTCGGAAGCTCCCGTCCTCCTGGAGGGCTCTCATCATCCACTACTCTGAGCACCTCAGGTGTCACGTCTTCCTTCATTCATCGTTGATTTGTCCCTCAATACTAAGAGAACTCACAATGCCTTCTCTTTTCTATACCAAGCATCTCTATTTCTTTCAATTATTCTTTTTTCTATTTTGGGGGTGGGATTGGGGGGAGGTTTTCTGTGTCCCCCCTAACTAGCCCAAAACTGTTTCACAGAGATCTGCCTGTCTCTGCCACCCAAATGCTAGGATTAAAGCCCTATGGCACCATTCATGGTTTTCTTCAACCATTCTTTAGTTCTTACACGATACTGCTATTTAAACAGAAGAGGGGGAAGGGTGACTTCTGAGTGGAGCATGGTGGTGCACATCAATAATTATTTTCAACACTTGAGAATCAGAGGCAGGCAGATCTTTGTGAATTTGAGTTCAGCCTGGTCTACATAGCTAGTTCCAGGCCAGCCAAGGCTACACAGAGAGACCCTGTCTCAAACAAAACAAAACAATCAAATAAACACAGAAAAATGCTATTTTAGGTTGCTCAAATAAGTAAGAAAAGGCTACACTTAAAATCTTAAATATAGGCTAGGGACATTGTTTTATGGTCTATGATTGACTAGCATGAGAAAGTCCTCAAGCTAGATCCGCAGCAATAAAGTCTAAATGTGAATCTATAGGAACCTATACATGAAAACATCCAAGAAAAATATAGCCAAAAGGTAAGTCATAAGCATCAGTAGACAAGTAAACACTTTGTTCTCTAAGCAAATTCTTGTGAAAATAAAAACAAGGAATTTTGCCAGTGCAAGCCAATGCAAGTATCTGGCCACAGATTTCTGAGTTAACAGTGCTAAAAAGGATTTACCTATAAACCTTTAAAATGGAAAGTCCTCACTACATTTTCCCACCAAAATCATACCAGAATGTGTCATACTGTGATATTTTGATGTGATAGATTTTAAAATGAAGGCTATAAAAACTGCCACATCATAAAAGATTTTTTTTAATGTAAATATTTAGTTGAGGTAACAAAGGGAATCAAGAAAACTCAGAGGCTAACTCAGCTATAAGAGAGAATTCTCCCACTGGTCTCATAATCCTTCAAATGGTGGCCAATTTGCCCTGAGGAAACTTTAAAAAACAAAACAAAAACATAAGACTAGACAAAGCATATGGAAGCAACCAAGTGGAACCCAATTACTAAGACATGAGTAAAACAGTTAATTTTCTCCTCTATTCTTTCTTTATTTCCATTTCACTTTTCCTTTTTTGGGGGGAGGGGAGTGGGCAGGGTAGCACACGCCTTTATTCCCAGTAGTTGGCAGAGGGAGGTGGATCTCTGTGAGTTTCAGGCCATTCTTGTCTAGAATTCACAAAGATCCATTTAGGATTAAAGGCATGTTCACCACTCGTAATTTTTAATTTCTACTTTTTAAACAGCAGACATATTTTAACTTTTATATTACAAATGTCATAATCACAACTTCTTTTTTTTTTGTTTGTTTGTTTGTTTTCAAGACTGGGTTTCTCTGTAGCTTCGGAGTCTGTCAGTAGACCAGACTGGCCTCGAACTCACAGAGACCACCTGCCTCTGCCTCCTGAGTGCTGATTAAAGGTGTGTGTCACCACCACCCGGCACAGCTTCTTTTTAAATACAGGGAAGGGCCAACAAGATGGCTCAGAGAATAAAGGCTTTTGCCACCAAGCTTGATGATATAAATTCAACGCCCAGGATCCACATGGTGGAAGGAGAGAACAGAGTTCCCAAACTGTCTTATGACCTCCATACATTCTCCAAGGCAAGCATGTGGCTACATACATATACACATGCTCACTTGTGCTCTCTCTCTCTCTCTCTCTCTCTCTCTCTCTCTCTCTCTTGCGCGCGCGCACACACACACACACACACACACACACACACACACACACACACACTAAATAAACATAATCTTAAAAATTATAAATGGGCCGGAAGTGGTAGTGCACACCTTTAATCCCAGCACTTGGGAGGCAGAGGCAGGCAGATCTCTGAGTTTGAGACCAGCCTGGTCTACAGAGCTAGTTCCAAGACAGCCAGGATTACACAGAGAAACCCTGTCTAGAAAAACAAACAAATAAAAACAAAAATATATGGAGGAAAATCTAGTCATGATAGTTTACACCTATAATCCTAACACTTGGGAAGCTGAGGCATAGGACTGCTACAAGTTCTAGAACAGGCTGGGCTATAGTATGATGCCATGTTTCAAAAGAAAAAAAAAAACTAAAATTTAAAACAGGGAGAAAAGGTCTGGTCAGTAATCAAATATATCAATTCATCACCTGTCAAGAATTTTACAAACATAAATATAAAACTTTAATAAAAATAACTAATTCCAGTGGTAAGGAAAGCTAAGGTTGGAATGTAAAATGAAACTTAAAAAATTTATTTAAAAAAAGGAAAGAAAATAACTATTTCCTTGAAGTTTTAGCAGAGACTGCAGGGTCTCTAAGAATATCACTGTCACTTAGCATTTGTAGCCTCTCCATATATTTGAAAACAAAGTTGAAATCAATGTTGACTTTTCAGAATTTGTATATAAAAGCTTGCAGACAGAAACCTGTATTTGCTGTCATGAAAACTGTTGGGAAAATGAACTAACCTAAGAAAGCAAGAGTAGTCAGGCAGTGCTGCGTGCCTATAATTCCAATGTGTTGGGGAACAGATGCAGGAAGATCTCTGTGAGTTTGAGGCCAGCCTGGTCTAGCAGAGTGCGTTCTAGGACAGCCAGGGCTACACAGAGAAATCTTGTCTTTAAAAAAAAAAAGATTTTGACCCATTGCAATGTCCCTTTAAACTCATCTAGATGCTGTTTTCAGGCAATAAAACAAGGGCCTGAAAACTTTGCCTAGTTGCCCTGCAAGCAACTGCAGACACTTCCAAGGCATTGGGCTGAAGGAGTACTTCGTTCTTATCTATACATAAATCTGACTAGAGTAGAGGGGTGCATTCTGAAGAAATTCTCAAAAGAATGTATGAATTTCTCAAATCAGAAGTAAATCTATGATCAACAGAAGGGCATAGACCCAAAGGAACATAAAATCTTTACCCATTTACTGTATTTCAAAGGTCCAGTGAATCCCATGGCTTCTATTATCTTCGTGAAGGGACCGACCTTCTCCTCAACAGGCTTTGGGAAATCTTGGATAGTAGGAAGCTACTTAACCAAAGAAAAAGAAATCAAGTTAGTTACAAGAAATTTCCTAAACAGAGTGCTTTTATTTCTTCCTTCTAAGAACATTTTTATTGCTTAGATTTTTTTCACTTTGATTTCCTTTTTTTCTACTTGCTTGCTTTGACTGTTCTGTTCTGTTTTAGTACAGTGCTGGAGATCAAACCCAGGTTTTCACAAACACTGGGCAAGTGCTCTCTCATGGAGCCAGACTCAGAGCCCTCACTTAGGTGTACAAACACATCTGAAATGGTATCTAACAGACATCCTCCAAATTACAAAGCAAAGCATACCCACCTAAGTAACCATGTGCCTGTGATCCCATGATTAGGAAAGAAGAGACTAGAGGTACTAGAATAAAGGTGACATGAAAAAGAGAGAGATGGCTCAGTGGCTAACAGTACTGGCTGCTCTTCCAGAGGACTTAGGTTCAATTCCCAGCAACCACATTGCAGCCAACAACTGTCTATAACCCTAGTTCTAAGGGATCTGATGCCCACTTCTGGCCTCTGAGGGCACCAAGTGCAAGCCTGGTGCACAGACATACAGGCAGGCAAAACACATAAAAAAATAGAGGGGAAAGGGCAAGGAGTGGGCAGAAGGGAGTGAAGGAAAAAGAGTAAGGGGGAGAAAAAGGAGGAAGGAAGAGAGGAACGGGGGGGGGGGGGGGGGGGGGGGGGGGTTGGAAAAACACAGGCCCTGCCTAGAAAAAA